TTACGGCGTTCGCTTCTAGGTGTCAGGAAACCCTGGGCCTGTATCGCCGATGTGTTTGGATATATCTATTGAGCCCCCAAAAAAGGGACCCGGGGCTTTCTTAAGGTCTCTACAGTACTGGCAAACAGACTCTAATCAAGCTCAGTGCTGGTAGCCAAGAAGCTGAAGTCTTCCAGGAGCACGTACAGAAACGACTCAGGAATCTTGTTGCTCTGGATGAGCGCATTCTTCTGGCCATGCCTGTAGAAATCATACAGGTAGGCGTTGAGGTGGCCCGTCGGGTTCACAACAGGAAACATGCTTCGGTGAAGGCGGAAATCTTCATGGACCGTGCTGCAAAGCTGCTCGAAAGATTCGAAGCATTCTCCGTGACCGGACAAGGCTATAAAGGGAGACCGCAGCAAAGGAGAAGGGTGCCGCACGGAAGGAGAGCAAGGGCGTGCCCAAGTCAGCGGAAGACGATCGTGTGGAACAGTGTCCATGGCACCCCGCTGAATGAAGCAGCGCAGGCGATGGACCACTGCCTGCAAGATGAGGTCGTTGTGCTTCTGCACTGCTTCCTGCACCCTCGTTGGCAACGTCGGCAAGCACACAACAGACGAACTGCGAAGCCCACGAGCATGCTTCAAGGCCATACTCCGTCGCATCCAGGGTTGCAAGGGCAGTCGGCAGAAAAGACGGCACAGCACGGCCATCAATGCATCACGGGGACCCGTGCATAGGTCCCGAAGCAAGCCCTTCTCCTGCAATAGGGCCACCAAGACAAAGTTGCCCGGATCCTGCCAGAAGATGTGGGCCGCAAACCCAGCGAAGCCTGTGCCCTGAAACTTCTGATCCAGAAGCTGATCATGCTGCAACTGCTGCATGTAGAAGCAGAAAATCAGATTCTGCTGTATCTTGGTGATGGGGGAAGGACAAAATAGCGGAAGACTCAGCAGACGCTGCGTGGCCGCAGCTGCAGCTGCTAGCTGCTCCTTGTCAGAAACCACAGCCTGCGCCTTCAGCGCCAATCGCAGAGCCAAAGAAGCATTCAAAACTCCTACGTTCCCTCGCAGCTGAGGCAACTCCCCTCGAAGGAGCTTCTGAACCTTGCGGGAATGGAGTCCGAAGAAAACGATGTGACCACGCAGGTCAAAGCCACGACGTCCAGCCCTACCTGCTTCCTGCAGAAACTGCATCTGGGTCAAGTGGATGGAGTCCCCAGCGAAGATTGAGGTTTTGGAGGGCATATTAATTCCCAACGCCAGGGTGGAGGTCGACACCACAAGGCCAAGCTTACGAGTTCTGAAGAGCCGCTCCACAGCTTTCCGATATTCGCTTCGCAAGCCTGCATGATGCACACCGATGCCACGCAGCAGCAAGCAGTGCCTCGATTGCCGTTGGAAGCTCACTAGACAATCCAACTCGACTCGTATCTAAGGCGAAGAAATACTGCTCGGCTCGCAGTGCCACTGGAAAAACTTTCCGGTTCTATTCTAGCCCAGATTCAGCAGGTTGGCCTTGTCGAAAGGATACTAGGGTCCGTTGACTTTAAACTCTTCCTCCAGTGCCTCCTGCGTCATTACAAACTGGCCGCTGGGCATGAACGTAAATTCATGGCGTATTCCCCGAAGCTTTTCTTCCTCCGCCACCAGGCTGTATCGATGCCAATTCCTGCGAGGTTAGGTCGGCAGGGAGCTTGCCATCGCGCTTGTCAAGAGCTTTCTCGACGTGCTGCAGACCCTTCTTCAGCTCATCAAACCGTCTGGCAATCGCCTCGAGTTTTTCTGGAACTTCCTCTTTTTTTTTCAACTCCTTCTCCTGAGAAACCACGTCACGAAGCAAGTGCTCTGCCAAGATCTCGCATCCTGTTCGGCTGTTGTGAAAACAGATTGCTGGCAGCATGCCCGACTCTCTCAGCTGCCGAACCAACGTACCGATGTGACCTGTGAGATATGCCATTTCGCCTCCGTCCAAATCCTGATCTGCACGGTTGAAAGCTTTTAGAGTCACCGCGCCAACCTCTTTGATAATCCTCACATGATCTTCTCGGGTCATGCTGTCAAAGTACTTTGCTACGTCTGTGGCCCAGTCTCGCGCGTTCTGCATGCTGAGATTCCAGGTGCCGTCTGGAAGACTGGAAAAGTAAACTTCAGGGGCGAGCTTCTTCCCCTCGCCCTTGCAAGCTGTGGACTCGAGCATGGTGTCGCAAAGCTGCAAGCAATCTTCGGGTATGAGAGTCAAGCCCTGGCAGGGCACCTCATCTCCAGACGCAGGCTTCAGAGCAAAAGCGGGATGTAAGCGGTGTAGATCCTGACCATCAAAGACCCACGGCTGCAAGTCGTTGAAACGGCCATGGTGTGTTACAACATGTAGCTGGCGGCCGCGATGCTCTTCTAGTGACTTCAACCACGACACGAAGCAGTCACTCTTTCCGAGGGTGGCAGACAAAGCTACCAATGGACACGGCACAAGGGACAGCAGCTGCTCCCACACTCGTCCGTTCTCCTCACCAAGACAGTGCACCTCATCCACGATGGCATATTGCAGCCGACCCACCCAATTGCTACACTCTTGCGTGGGCGAGAGGAAGTAGATTAGGAAACACTCCGGCACCGTAACCAAGACTTGGCAATCAAGGGCGTGATCACGCTGGTCCCGTGTGAAAATGCCACAAAAATGGCGATCGGGCCTGTTCGTGAATTCTTTGCTGTATCTTGCACCAATCTCAGCATAGACCTGATTTGCTAGAGCCTTTGTCGGACAAATATACACGACAACCCCAGCATCATCCGCTCGGAGAGTCTTCTCCATGATGTAAAAGGAAATGAAGGTCTTGCCGGATGCCGTTGGTGCCAACACTAGGGCTGACTGCCTCTCGTCCACTACATCCAACAACCGAACTTGCCATGCATCAGGCTTGAACTGGAGACGTGGATCGTGCGTCCCGGCAGGTCTGGCTAAATGCTCGGGCACGACGCCCAGCTGAAAGCGAAAGGGGCACACGGAGGCCTTGCGTCTCTCTTTGGCTTTTGACCGACCAAGGTGTGCAGCTAAATCCGGCATGCCCAAATGCTTGTCTGCAAGCTTTGCCATCGCCTGCAAGAGCTCAGACCCTCCATCTTCTCTCTGCAGACCATCCACACCTGTTCGCTCTCAGATACTGCAGCCTCACTAAACAAAACACCGACACCCCCGTGCGCGCCTCCACACATCCGCAGTACAGCTTGGATTGTCAGGAAAGTCTGCCTTCCAAATCCATCCGCCTTCTTTTCATCCAAGCTTTCCTCAGTTCGTCGCAGCTGGAGTCAACGGGAGCTGCAGTTTAGATGCCTTTGCACTCACTCACGGGACAGGGTGAGTCACATGCATAGTTGCCTCACGCCAGCCAAGCATCACTCTCCTTCAACCAGTGCTTGATGCCCTTTAAAGCTGGTGCTTTTGCACCTTCCTCCCAACATCGTCGCAGACTGCTAGCAAAGGACTCCACGGCTTTCGTCCGGTTCCCCGACTGTGGAGTTGCCTTTAAGTCTTCGATCAGCTGCTTCACCTGCTCCGCTTTCTGCTTGAGCAGCTTGTCCTGCTGGGCCGCACTAGTCTGTTGCCGGACACGGTCGGCCGAGCGCTGGGGTGATCCTTTCTTTCCAGGGCTGCTGGCTGTTTCTTTTCTTCTTGCATGGTCGGGAGACGACCCTGTCACGATGGTCTGTCGTGTGACAGGGCTTCCCTCAAGCAGGGATTCCAGAAAATGCTGGTTCTTGGCGGCAGCTTTGTGTCCTCTCCTATCAACAGCGGCCTGCGACATGGCCATGTTGAAATTCAAGGTTACAGGATACTGCGCTGCACTCAGCAACACCTTCAGTTCATCCAGATCCTTTAGCGGCTCGTCGGATCTCGATGAATCAGTGAAGCTTTGCAATCTGAACTCCACAAACTTGGTACGAACTTGATACATCCAACGAGGAACCTTCCGATCTTTGTGGACTCTCACCACGCCATCATCCGTCAGAAACTGCAGGAGGATAGACATCTTCGTGGGAGCATCCAGGCGCAGGACCCTCGTTGACTTCAAGACTGCAAGAGCCGCCTGGTACGCATCCGGCTCCACCTCCAGGGGCGTGCCCGTATGGTAGTGATGCGGCTGATATGCCGGAAGCACGCTTCTGTCGGGGAGGGAGCCGTCACCGTCCACTTGCTGCAGCAAATCAGCGACAGCGAGGCGAGCTAGAGGAGCGCCTTGCCAAATGCTGGGGATAAACCTTCTGGGCTTAGGGTTGAGGGCTTACGTTCCAAGCTTTGCCCTGCAACTCCTCTGTTAACGACGAGACCAACATTGCACTCTGCTCTTTCGCTCCCTGCATCACATCCCGCTGCCCCTCCCAGATAGACGGGCCATCTCCCAGAATGCTGCTAGGACCTGCGAGTGCTGATACTCATAGTCTAGGACCTCACTCCTGTTGCACAGCTCAGAGACCACTGAAGCCCGAAGCCCCGGCCTGCAACGCTCACGAGCTCCCCCATCTCCGGAGACTCCTTGCAGCTCTCCCGTGGCTCGGGCTGGAAAGCTGGAGCCAGTCCCCACAAGCCGTGCCTGGGGAAACTGCGTGAGCCGCATAGATTATGCAAGCAATGGACGTCTATGCCCCTCCGAGACGAGTTCAATGACGAGTGCAAAGTGTGTTGGGGCCGTCTGCCGGAAGGAGGCAATGGGAAGACTCATTCGCACATGCCACGTGCACTCAGCCAGTAATCTTCCTTCGATGGAATGGTGCAATCTGAAGACTGGACTGCCAAATTGCTTAATTATGCCTCCGCTTCCTCATGTTCTGTCTGCGTTCGGGGCTGCCTGCCTTCAAAGCATGGAATGTCCATGGGCTCGGTTCGCAACTCTAAAACTGGCGTAACCATTGCCACGAGGACCGTATGTTGCAGCCAAAAGGCAAAGCATTCATCAAGCTCCCGGTACCATCGGGGGCATTGTCGCTCCAGATCCTGACGGAACCACGAAATGACATTGACATGCTTGGTCTGTGAAGCCCGAGCAAACTAAGTTCTCATGCCCATCGCTCTGAAGCTTTTGGCTTCGGATCATGGCGACAACGACGATGATGGTGAAATGATGATGATTATGTTAATACTGATAACAATCATGATGATGATGACGACGATGATGAGGACGATGATGATGATGATGATGACGATAAGGATGAAGATGACGAAGGGGATGACGAGGACGACGACGACAATACGCTTGATGGCGACAGTGATCGTCTCAGTGCTGGTGATATACTTTCGTTATGAGGACGGTGTGTCGGTGAGGGTGCTGATGTGATGGTGCAGATGATGTTGGTGCGGGTGAAGCTGGCGACGATGACTAAGGAGAATGACATGCTGACAATAACAGTAAGGACGAAAACTAAGAAGACAGGGCAGACGACGAAGATGACACAGGAGAAGAGACGACTACCATGACGACGACGACGACGACGACGACGACGGGACGAGGACGACGACGGCGCAAACGACAAGGACGAGTACTAGTACGATGACGACAACTACGATGACGACAGATCTAGGAGGCAGTTTCAACGACTTTTGCTGCCTGGGGCAATGGCGAATACGTCGACGGCAACGACGTGCAGACAAGGAAAGTCATGAGGAAGGCGGTGGCGGTGCTCGTCATCATCATGATGATGGTACCACCTAGGAGCAAGGTGATGACGAGGGACGGTCAGGAGGATGGGGCGATAATGACCATGATGACGATGATGGTGCCTTGATTCTCTCTACCTGTTCATGCGCATGGGCCTCGAGGCCAACTCCAGTGCCGAGGACAAGTCGGTGCTGAAGGGATTTCGCTTGCAGACTGCGTCCACATCATCTGTCTGCAGACATTCCCACGCAAGACGATGAAAAACTCGACCGTCGAAAAGGTCAGCTGACGTCCCATCGAATGCATCAGGATGCGACTGCCGGATGCAAAGAATAGCCTCCGACAGAGCGTCATGCAACCGAAGGAGGAAGCGAGGCACTCCCAGAGCATCTGGCAGGCAGGGCAGATCTGCGTCCGAAACGCGACGAGCATCAAGGGTGAACACCTCCAACGCGGCCAAGCTCCAGGTAAAAGCTGCACTCAATGGAATCAGGGTGGGGATTGAAGCCTCGCGACCAGTCTCGAAGGCATGCCCAAGGAGACGTTTCAAAGCCAACCGACCCGAAGCGAGCCGGATGGATGTCTCCATTCGAGACGAATCGTCCAGTGTGGTCTTCCACACCGCATACTCCTGGGTCGACTTGGACAGGATGCTGATCAAGATGGGCAGAGTCTTTGCCCGTCGTTGTGGCGATAGAACTGGTTCCAGCAGATTTCCGATGAGGCGGGGCCCGGCAACGTCCAAACTTTCGATGTCAAGTACTTGCAGGTCAAGGGAATGCAGCCAGTGAACGAACAAGCACGATCGTAGTCCGGGAAACTCTGTCTCAAGAGTTTCGAAAGACAACGCCTCCTGACTGGCCTCCCGTCCACAGTGGGGGGTCAACGGCGCAGGCCGCCCGAAATCCGTAATGACACATGATGGGGTACATCGCAAGACCAACTTTTCGAAGCTGTCCCGGCCCTGCTTGTTCAGAAAAGAGCCGGGGAGGAGAACCGTTCGAATTCGACTCACCGGAACTTCGTCAGCTCGGTTGCTTGAAGATGCTCTTTGAAAGTGGTCGCACAAAACGAGCCACAGCAATCTTTGAAGTGATAACGGCAAACTTGTCCAGTCCTCTTCAAAGAAGAAAAGGCAGACTGAAACATCCTTCTCCACGATGTGGGAAAGAAGCTTCTCGGCAAGGTACACAGCATGGAGGACCTGGCCACCATGCATCCAATCCACAAGCAGGTCCGATCCGACCTCCCGGAACAAGGCCGTCCCATCAATCAATGTTGCAGCAGCAGAGCCCAAACACGAAAGAATATCAATGCCGATGCAGAGCACGGAATCATGCCACTCTGTAAGTACGCTTGCCAGCTTCTCTGGCTGCGGAAGGATGCGCGTTTTAGTACATGTCGCGTCAGCCAGCTCTTGCATCGCAGCAGTGTCTGTGACAACATCATCAGCACCACTCTGACAACTCTGGTCACCGGAATCACTGCTTTCGTCTTCTGCTTTGGACTCTGCATCACTGTCGGAAGATCCATCGTCCATTTGGTGTGGTCAAGAAAATGCGACCTAGTGAAGCGACACTGGTAAAAGGGTCCCATGCTAGCATTGAGCCCAAACGAAGCTTGACATCTCACTTCGCGATGAAACACTGATTCGGAGTCTGGACGATGCGGGCAAGACAGTATGTAAACATGGAACCATTCCTATGAAAAACCTACAACACTGTCGGGCCAAGCCCGCCTCTACCATTCACGACTGTAGCCGGTTTTTACACAAGAGAGCCCCGGTGTAGCTGTGAAAACACACGGGTCACTGCAGGACGACGGTGACGTTGCGACACATTGCACCACTAACCTCGCATCCGCCGCCCAATCTACCGTCCCACATCAGCTTGTCTTGCACACGCAACAACCAGAATCCATCCTCGCGAACACCACGCAATGCAACGGACGGACAGCACCCACCGGCCCCAACGCCGTTTGAATAAGGGTCTTGTACTACTATCTCTATCTATATACAATATAGGAACCCTAAACCTGGTTCTGCGCACTTCAGACAGCATGCGAATTGATGCGAGGTTCAGACCTTTCGAGGCTAAAGAACATGTTAAGCACGCTGCGAAATCATATTGCCAAAAAAGAAAAAGACTTTTGAGGCAGCGGGAATGTACTGTAAGCTTCGTCAGACAACATGGAATCCCGAACGATCAGAGCTACCACTCGTGTCCTGGCAGCAGCAACAGATTTGTAG